TTAATAATTAATAGTAAAATTTTCCACTTATTGTAAATTGCAGATCGTAAGAGAAACCTTTGCACAATAAGATATTTAGTCTTTTTTTTTTCTTTTCTTTTTCTTTTCTTTTTCTTTTCTTTTTTTTTTTCCTTTCAGAGGAATGTAAATATAATTTGACTCTTATATAGATATATGCTTGACAATCAATCGCTTATATCACCGGCTGCACAATAAGCATTGAGTAGCGAAAGGCGTAAGAGAATATTGTCGATTACATTGATATAAATCGACTGAAGAAAGTAATCAAAGAAGTGGAGCGTGTTAGTTTCTGAGTGTTGGGTTGCGTTGAATCATCCACATTACTTGCTTTTTACAAAAGTTAATTATCGAAAGTAAGTAAGTAAGTAAGTAAGTAAGTAACAAATTTGATAGTATAATGTATCTTTTATCTTTGTTACCGAATATCTCCTTTTTCATTCCTCTGCATCGTAACTTCGTAACAAAGTTACACCGTTAAATGAAAATACTAATTAATTATAGCTTACATACAATTTCAAAACTTCTTTGATTATTTTCAATTTCAGGTTTTGTTTTTATTTGTTCATTTTACGTAAGATTTTAAACTATTTAGTGTTATTTTTATAGGATTTTCCAATTATATAGTTTCTTAAAATAAAGAAGATAAAATTTTATTATAATTTTACGATAATTTCTTAAAATACTGTTTATTTGCAATGATATTAATGTTTATCCGCAATTTCTGTCGTCTAACAATACGAAAGAAATTGTTTAATTATAATATCAATGCCTTAATATAAATCCCCAGTGAATATATAATTATTTTCCAAAATTTTTTTATTATTAATATTCCATGTATAAGTAAGAGTTATTTTTATTATATGACCTAGTAAGGAAGTGTCATGGATAAGAATAATTGTAAAAAAAAAAAAAAAAAAAAACAGGTGAATAAGAGCAAAATTAGTATAGAGCACTAGAAATTGAATTTAAAAGAGGGGAAATTTGAACAGAACTTCACCGAGGGTATACTCGACCAATATACAACCTATATTTATCTATAATCCGGCCCATATTATGCACTAATAGAAGATGCGAAAGGCCATTTATTTAACTGTCGAACATTTTGAAAGAAGAAGCTTAAATCGAAATAGTATAGGAAACGTGAATTACATAATAAACAGTAGGATAGTAAAGGTAAAGATGATAGTAAATGAGATAAAACGTAAAAGAAGAGAGAAATATGTAAGATTTTTGGACATAAGGATGCTATTCTGGGCATAAGGATAATAATAGTCGCTAATATCTGCTTGTAGTGTGATCTTATGGCTATTATGGTTAATATGGTCGAGATAATTACATAGTAAATGTGTATTAGCTTCAAAATAAACATAGAAACATTAATTAATTTTAAATGTTAATGTGAGCACAATAATTAAAGTAAGAAAATTCTAGAAAATGTTGAAATAAAATTCTTCATAGCTATAAAGCGATACATCTCAAATAATAATAAAATATTAGAGTTTAAAAGGGATCGTGAACAAAAGAGTTTTTGAACAAAATGTGGCAAATGTTTTACCTGTTCAGAATTTGTTCTATCCTTAATTTTAAACACCACTACTATTCGTATCTGCATTACGCATAATTGGTCAACCGATTAAATTAAATAAAGAACGACAGTACATTCTTACGGAAGTCTAACTAAATGCATCAGAATCACTAATCGATGGAATACTGAGTAAACGAATAAGTAAGAAATGATCATAAGACGTAATTTAGTAGAAGTAGTAGGGAAGACAATATACGTAAGAAACAATTAAAAAAAAAAAAAAAAAAAAAAAAAAAAAAAATCTGATAAAAATAAGACTAGAGGAAAGCTCAGAATATAACTACGACAAGTTTGTAGAATAAATATTAGAAATCGACATCAAGTGAAAACCGGGACTCTTCTAAAAAAAAATGACTGCAAGAACACCTATAGAAAGTGTAGTAATCTCTCAAACTGTCACCATTGACTGTAGAAATATTAAGGAGATTACACACACAATTAGCAAGAAGTTTGACGCGTTAACGTAAAATCCAGATATTGAGCAGGAAGTACGATTAGTATATATATATATATATATATATAGAGAGAGAGAGAGAGAGAGAGAGAATTACCGTAAAGGGATAGTATTCCGTGAGGCAAGGGTAAGTCAATAAATTCAGGTAGCAATTAAGTTACAGGATCAAGACCCTAAGAGCAATCAGGCAAGTTAACCGATCGTAGGTACGAAATTCGATACCTCATTATTAAAAATCCTGCTTAAAAAAATAAACGTCACTATATGACAAGTGTAATGATTATTGTCTCAATAAACGTTTTGTTTTGTTAATTATGAGATTGTTAATGGCTTAGCTTTGATATTAATTTTGATAATAGTGTTGAAACTCGAATACTCGATTTCTCTATGAAAGACAAAATCTAGGGAAATGATATTATCTACTAAAGAGCAATCAAAAGGTATCGATTGAGCAAGGAATATTGATGACAGTATAATCTAATCTCAAGGTATTTTCCATGTTCTTAATTAATGTAGTTCCAAGATGAGATCAAGTAAAATCTATATAATCATCTTTACTCTCCTAATATCTACATTAGAAGACCTAAACATGAGATAATGTGACTGAATGCACGCTCCCTGCACTTTTTATAACTAATTCTTTTGGACACACAATTCCTAAATATTCAGGTATAATATACATTTATATATATTATATTATTTTATATTATGGAATGAAATTTTTGGAATGAAATTGATTGTAGTATTTGAACAAATTAGTAATTATAAATACATTGAATAAACCGTTATAAGGAATAATCATTACATGTTTTATAATTAAATAAATATAAAGTGGTAGTTTACGTAACTCGTAAGACTTATAATCCCTTTTATATTTACTTTTCGAAATATTTCAGTGCTTTTTAATTAAAATTAATTTTCTGTTATATGTGAATACATATAAACGCGAACGCGCGTACATGTATGTGCATTATTATAAATGTATATCTACATAGCCTTATTAATATATGTGGCCTTTCATTTTTCAATAAATAACACGTAACACTATCAAAACTCCGATATTCAAAGAAAGCCTATAATATTTAAGAAAGAGATATAACATCGATATTACGCAATAGCATATAATTATTTTATTTAAAAGAAATGTAATTACATATTATGATATAACTGTTATCAATGTTATTATGTTCTTTGATATATTTATTTTGTCATACCACTCTCTTTCACTTCCTACTCTAACTATATAACTATAAACTTTATCCACCTTAATCCGCTTAAATTTTTGAAGCTTTACAATACTAATTAAAAATATTGTATAAAATTCATGTCATCAATATGATAATTATATAACATTTATTAGGCTTAAAATAATCAAGAAAACTATGTTTCTTAAATAAAATTATATAATAAATTTCTTACTCTGCTAAATTTTCTAAATATATATTTAGTACATTTTCAAAATAAATTGTACTTCATAATCACTGTAACAATGTTATAAACAAATTTCTTGGCTTATGTAAAATATTTAATGGAATATAAGAATTATATATATATATATATATTTAAAAAATATATATGATTTTCCAATATTATAAATTTCCTGTAATTATACGAAATTGTTTAAAAAATAATAAAGTGCATTTTTATTCATCAACTATATAAAATTAGCATTATCAAATATATAAAAATAGCATATTATATATATATATATATATATATATATATATATATATATATATATATATATATTCAGTATCTCGAACGAACATGTGAATAAAAATGTTGATATTAAAAGATTGTAGGTGTTATATTGCAGGATAATTAACATTCTTATGCTATTCCTGTGCATACATCAAGACCACTCCATACATGTGCGATGTAAGTCTCGAATATCCATTAAGGTGAGAAATATAAGTTTCTTTTATATTAAATAACATAAGAAATGGCAAATCTCTGCTTAGGTTCTGCATATAAAGATGTTTACTGTGCTAAATATTTCTGCATAGTTCGCGTTCGTCTTTATTAAACAATAATGGATAATTACTTGCAATAGATATTACGATTGTGCTAGTTACTTTGATGCACGTTACGAGAGTGTAAATTATACTTATAATTTATTTCTTTATTTTGGAAATTTTTTTACTAATACAGTCGTCGTTATTGTAGATTATACGTTAGCTTTGAAAAAATTGAATCTCTAATAATATTTCAGAAGTAACTCGGCGTATCGCGCGTATTGCCGTAATCTTTTTATTCGGCCTAGTGATTCACTAGCATTGCCACAATGAGCTTCAATACATTTATCATCTTGTCTAATGCTCACCTATGTTAAATTATATTAAATTAAAGACGAAATAGCCAATATAAGTATCATATACGCGCATATAATTATTATACAGTATGTTAATTTGAAAATGATTACTTAAGCATTGCTGGGCTTTGTGGAACAATGTATGTTTTAGAAATAATATTACTTGGTATATGGTAAACGAATCAGTGCTTGATTTACCGATTCGTTCGGTTAGAAAGACAAGGAGCTTGGCGTTCAACCTAAATAATATAAATTCTTAATGAGCCATTGTCGCGAGAACGAATGCCTGCCAGCAGGATTCTCCACCGAAGCTCCAATAATAAAGAAGTGTAGGACAGGGTTACGGTTATTCAAACTCCCGAGGATTCGGTGGGCTACGCAAACTTTCGTACACGAGGTCGTTGTAAGGAGTAGGCGGACGAGGAATACCGCGACGAACCCTCACAAAGTGCACGGCGAAGTAAGTCCGTTGGCGCCTAGGATGGAGGCGCGCCTGCCGGCGAATATCCTGGGAGCGCTCGTGAGCGCTCGGCAACGCTTCCGACCGCCTCGGCCAGGTGGAGAGGGGCGGCCCGGGGCTCGCACGCGACTCCTCGTCGGCTGGCGCTCTTATCTCGCGCTCACCTGGCGCTAGTCGGCCCTGGTCGGCCGGAACGCGCAGGCGGCGAACGCGTCCCCGGACGAGGATGCGACGAGTACGCGTTGCCCTAGGCCCGATCGATGCAACGCGCGCGACCGCGAGATCCGAGACTTATATCGCGATAGCGAGCGACCCGCGAGTATGGACGTGATAAGGCTCGAGGGCCGGGCCCCCGACGTCGGGGACTTCCTCAAGGAGGCCATGCTCTCCCAAAGATTCGCCGACGTCGCACTCTGCTGCCCCGGCGGACAGAAGTTCCTCGCTCACAGATTGGTCCTGTCCGCGGCCAGCCCTTACCTGCAGGTCAGTTCCTACTGGGCACTACTTCCTACCGCGCACTTTCCCTGCAGCCAAGACATTGGCCGCCCCGAGCTTCCCCATCGGCTATTGGTTGTCAATCTGTTCGGAAGATTAAAAGTCGTTCGACACTGCGACGGATCGATAAGCGAAGCAATCGATCTCCGCTTCATCCTCTTGTGTGTTTCACGGGCCTTTCTGTTCTTCTTGGTTTTTTTTTCTTTTTTTTTTTTCTTTTTTTTTTTTTTTTTTTAAGGACAATTAGGAAGAAAAAAAGAAAAGAAATAAAAGTTTGAGAATAGTTAGTGAAACACCGCGGTATACGCAGTTCATTAATTTGTATTGTGACGGATGGATAAGAGAGATTTATAAATCGTAAATAATAAAATAAATTACCGCATAAACGTTTTCGCAACATTTGTGAGGCAAAATTTTTTTCAATGCCCACTTATGCTTTAAAGAAATTCGGAAGTAAACGTTCACTTATCGCTAGTTGCTTATAAAATTACTGCAGTTTATAATAAACTGTGATTATTTTTTTCTTCTTACTGCCGATAATGATAGCGTCTTGAAAACTATTCCTATCTGAATCCTTCTAATCAAATAAATTCACATAAGTTTTATTGCTTCAACGATAAATAGTACGATAATAAATGAAAATATTGCCCTACGAGATATTAAGGCAGATATTTTTGTTATAAAAGGGAGCGTTAATTGAAAGTTGGTAATAAATGAATATCAATCATTTTTCATGCCTGATATATAAAGCGACGACATTTACATTTTATTATAAATTTTTTACTACACCTAGAGATTAGCATTAATTGTGATAATTTCTTTGCCTACGTAAAAGCAACGAACATAAGCACCAATACTGTAAAATGTAAAACAAATATAATCAATTTTTTTAACGCTGTTTTAATTTTAATTTAATCAAAAAATAGTTAACTAATTATTTTTATTCAATAGGTAACTGAATCTATATGGATAGTCGTTACACGGTTGGATATCTAATCCTATGAGACATTATAATTGTTAAAGTAAACTCTAAGGAAAGACTGTTAAATGCATTATACATTGTTCAATAAATATTCTAAATATTCATCCGCCAAACTCTCCTGACACATTAATTTCAAATAAATGTGTTTTTTGGCGATTTCAAAAAAAAAAAAAAAAAAAAACAAAAAAAAAAACAAATTCTATAGTATTTATTACTCAAGTTACTAAGTAATTATGAATTTTGTTCCTGCATTAAGATAAAGGAACCTTAATTAAATTATATTCGATAGATGATATCAGTAATGATATTAATAATAATAATAATAATAATAATAATAATAATAATTGAGGGATCTCGTGTTAATTAAATTTATTATACATTATTTATTAGAGCTAAGTAATGAATCTGAATTTTTTTAACGTGATTCAACAAATTCTTTAGAGCTATTAATAAGGGCTACAAAATGTTTTGCTTTTATCGATGATTTTATTTAATATTATATTAATTTTCAAATTAGGTTTAGAAATGAAATTCCACAATGGTATAAGTAAATTGAGTAATAAAGAGTTAAATAATTGAATGAAGTACGTGGGAAATACCGAGAATAATTATTTATTGCTTTTAATAATATGCAATAACTGTTAGTAGATGTCAATTAAACACGATAAAATACAAAATTATTAAACAGGTATGACGTATTGCTATTCTTATTAATTTGCCGTAGCAAAAGTCGATATAAATCATTTATTTGAATATTAGGGCAATATGTGCAGAAATCATAAATATATGCATCGAAAATATTGAAAATTGAATGAAAAAGTGATTTTCATTGATACGAGGGGGAACGACCGTACATGCTTGCAAATTTATTATTTTCATATAATTCGTCAATGAGATTGATGAAATCACATTCAATTTGCATGTATCATACAATAGACGAATAAAGCATGTTGATAGCGATGCGTTCAAAGACTTCTAAACGGCTCGAAAAAATAACATGCTAAAGTAGAAATTTACTAAATCGTTACTCGAAATTTCAAAGCATCAATGGGAAAAAACTACAATTTGCAAGAAATATGATCGCTCGATACTTTCGATCAACTTTTAAAAACTACGTGTACGAGACGTTTCGCAAATACTCATTGATTCGCAAGTATCAACGAATAAATCAGCACTTTGTCTAATCGTGTACAAAAGCACGATAACCCAATGATTATTTATGTGGCCTAACTTTTTCATTGGTCCTTCATATTTATGACGAACTTATTTATCGGTGGTATATCGAGATAATGCAAGTAGGCTTGTTTATGGCTGTCAATGAGTTCGCCTTTAATGCGGCGCGAAGTAGCCGAGTTATCAGGTATAAATGGTTCATTAACCAAAGTGTTTTCTTTCGGTTATTCAATAAAGCTTCGCTGTATGTGATCAATTATCTCACGTTCACCATGCGATACAAAGAATAAAAACAAACGGTAGCGACTCGACCACCATATCTCTGATGCAGGCGATAAAAATGATCTGATAAAAGGCTAAATATCTCGCTTGATACTTGGCTGTCTATAAATTATCGAGGCCCTGAAAATGCCGGGGCTTCGTGCAATTTGTCAGCGGCGGCGGGGCGCAATAACGCAGCAACGACACCAGCTAAAGCGTTAGCGAGCTTTATTTCTCAATTTCACGATCTTACCGTGCCATCGTCATTACTCCCCGAGTCCACCAATTACGAATGACAAGAGCGATTGGCAAGGCGCTGCTTACTTTTCAATAACCGACAGGGCATTATTAATTATCGGCGATTCACGCACTAATTAAGTTGAAAATCCTCGGCGTCACGTCACCGTGGCAGCCAACAAATATTGCCTCAAAAACATTTCCTTATTATATTAGCTGAGTTATTATACTCGTTACCGCGCACACAGCACGGTTATATAGGCTAATATCTCATCTAACTTCGGCACCGGTTGTATACCCCTTCGTTTTATTTGCACGAAGATGCATGCAAATGTGCTTTGATTATTTTATTTGCTTCATGCGGCGTGAGCGAGTATAGTTTCAGACTTGTTTGGTACATTTAAAGCTTATTGCGAAATAATATTGCAATAACTTGTTCACACCGCTCCTCGTAAGCTTTGCCACGATCTCGGCCCTCTTCGAGAAACAGCAACAATAACAACAGCGACAACAACAACTACAACAACAACAACAGCGACTACGACGATGACGACGACAGCAACAACAACAACAACAACAACAACAACAACAACAACAACAACACCAACAGCTGTTAATTTTATAATTAAATAAAATTGCCAGTAGTAGTGTATGATATAGTACGTGGAGGGGATAAAAAATATTTCATGAGTTGACGTATTGAGTTGCGCTGATGTCAGAGCGAGCACGCTATACGTGTACTCGACTGCTTGCTAACAGTGCCAATACGTACGGTCGGACACGAGCGATCACTAAGAAAGAAAGCACGAGCTCCTATGTAAAATAAATAATTTCATTGTGGTGCGAACATGTGGGTTAAGATAGAGAAACTCGTTTTTAATGGCTTTGCGCACGTGCGCGCCATAAATACATCCCTTGGTTGTTAGGCGTAGATGTCGTTGTATCATTATAAATGATGATGTTTTCTAGCAAAGTGAACCTATCTGGATTAAATTATCCGCAACGATGACTCGTCTGTCGAAAAGTTTTAATCCCATAAGAGCGACGACATACGCTGCTCATGCACCTCGACAAATCTTCTTATCATAATTTACCTTCGACTTTGCTCTATTGGATACGACGCTTACATAAAGGCACAATTCCGGTGGGATCAATATATATATATATATATATATATATATATATATATATATATGTCAGATTTATTAGAGTAATAGTTGACGAAATTATCGGTAAACATTTACGCATCGTACTCGTAACTATAAAATTTTTTAACTTTACGTCGTGTATGCATCGCGCGTATACATTTGTTTACATGCATTCTTCGTTTTTAAACGTTTTCCAGCTATTTCGTAAATACAGTAATGATCATTTGTCTTCAACGTATGTTTGTGATTACTAGTTATAATTGACGTACGCTTATTTCAAATATGTCTAAAATACATATATACATACGTACGTACACACAGAGACGCGCACGTATACCCTCGCAAAAAGTACGAGTTCTTAAAAGCGCTAACAAATGCTAGTCAAGAAACTACTTTCTTTGTCTTGGAAAGCAGTTATTCGTTGTGTAGATAATTGCTACGCACTTCATCGGTATTACTCTCCCTCCGTAATATTGGTTCTATAAATGTAAGTAGTTTTATAAGTAACACTTTTTTGTAAATTATTACCATTTTTCAATTATCATAAAGTAGAAATATTCATTTAATGTAGGTACATGCGCGCACACACAAACACACACACACACACACGACCATATATATATATATATATATATATATATATATATATATATACACACACATACACACACACGCACGCGCACGCGCGCGCACACACACACACATACACATACCACAACAAATCCATACTTCTGCTTAGATCTTACTTTTTATTTTGTCTATTAATAAATAACACACGATTATGATTAGTACACGTTTGCAAAATTTATAATCATCTTCGTTACTGTGCACATAATTCATTGGGAAGCATAGCTTATAAAATAAAACTTGTTCTATTACAGGGAAGTCGAATATTTTTTATATTTTAGCACTATTACAAGTCAATTAATAAATTATTCTCACACATAATTGTTATAAAAATATAAAATTAAGCATTTTGTAAAGGAACATTGTGGATTAACTGCTATATATTTACAGTATCAGATAACATGAATATTATAGTTATGATTATTATAGCAATATAATAATTAGAAATATCAGGCGAAGATATTTATTGAAAAATAATAAGGGAATATTTCTATAATTATAAAACATGTAACGTGTCGTGAGACATATGCCAAGTAAATTGATTTACTAATAATAAATAT